ACCATATTCTAGTAACATTGTAACCAATGATGCATCATGTAGAACAAGTAAGGTATGAATTAATGGTACACCATCAAGATCTGGTTCATCAAGCATTAATACTTGATCATTTTTTCGAAGATATTCTAAAAGAAATTTCAAAACTGGTTCATTACGACTAATTGCTGCAGCACGAACAGGTGATAAACCATCATGTGATTGTAAATGTATAGGTGCACCAACTCTTAACAATTCTTCCACTATCTAGAAAAATAAAAAAAAAAATATTTAGAAAATTAATATTACTATATTATGATTATAGGAATATTAAATTCTTAAAAATAATACTTTGTGGTTTTTGATATATTTATATGGTGGATTGAATAACAAAGATAGTATTATATAAATATATTAAAAATATATGCAACTATATAAATCCCTATATTAATTAAGTAAATATAAGAATTAACCGAAAAAAAATTTAAAAAATTTTTCAAATTTATTTATTTTTTATTTACTTATTTTACAAAATTTTTAATTAAAATCAAAAAATTTAAAAAAAAGTAGACAAAAAATTTATGCAAATAATGAAATTTGCTATTAAAATAATTATTTTTAATTGTTTGTAAAAAAATCAATTTTTATTCCAATTAATTTCAGATTTAATTACCGGAACTGATGAACGTTGTCCAGCAATGAGCAATGGATGTACACCACGTGTATCAGTAGCTTGAACAGTAGTTGAGGTAATTAATGATTTGCATAATTGCAAATCAGAATGAGCAATTGCATAATGTAATGCTACTGCACCATCATTATCCTGAATATTTAATAAAAGTTTAAAAATAAGGCAAATTATTGTTAAGCAATATTTGCATATTAAAGTATATTTTTTAATTTCTAATCAATGAAAATGATATAAAAATATTTGTAAAACAATATTTCAAATTGCTACTTTTATTTAGTTAGAAGAAAAAAAAAAGTACAAATATTATTTAAGTTATGACCTTATGACCTTCATCAGCTCCTAAACTGACCAACATTTCACAAACATTCAAGAAACCACTCATTGCAGCTATAATTAATGCTGTACGACCAAATTCATCGATAGCATCAGTATCAGCACCATGTTCGATTAATTGTTGACAAGCAATCAGATGACCTTGACTTGCTGCTAGCATCAATGAAGTACGTCCATTTTGATCCTAGCAAAATATTTTGCATATGTAAATTTTAATTTCATCATAAAAAATGCGTATAGTTGAAAGATAGAAAAATATGAAATATTTACAATGATTTTACCTGAGCGTCAATATTTTGAACAAAATTAATAATTGTTGGTAAATTTTGATCACCATGATAAGCAGCAATATGTAAACAATTCCGACCATTCATATCTTCAAGATTTAAATTTGTTCCACCTGTAATATTTCTCTTTTAAATAAACTAATGAAAAAAAAAAAGGAAAGAAGTTAATTGATATTGATTTTATTGTCTTTGATAAAAAATATTAAAACATTTTTCATCATAAAATGCTTAACAAAAAAAAAATAAATAAATAAATATATTGGAATATTTCATAAAAAATGTTATTTGTAAATTCAAAAAATTATTCAAAAATGTTCAAAAAAAAATGAATTTAAAAAAAATGAATTTGCAAATTAATTTCAAATTTAAAAATGCGAAAAATTAATTTGTTTATTTGAATTATTGTTTCCTTCTTGAAATCACAAAAAAAAAAAGAAGAAAACAGGAAGAAAACAAAACAAAACTTTACGACATATTTCATTTAGTTGTTATAAAATTAATTTCAGGTAGAATAGAATAAAAATGAACCTTTTATAAGTACTGTAACAGTTTCATTATGATCAAATGTTTGAGCACCTGATGAAAGTGCCAGATGTAAAGCTGTTGATCCATAATTATCCATAATCTAAAATTTCATAAAATTCATTTTCAATTTACATAATTTTTTCTTTTTCCTTTCTTAATTTTTTACTATGCATTTTAATTACTATACTAATTTCTATTATATATTAATATAAACGTATATAAATTATATCACTAGTAGTTAAATTTTTTTTTTAAATTTTCACGTTTTACTTTTTATCATTTATCATTTTTTACGCATACATGCATAAATTAATTAAGAATAGCTAATGATTTATTTATCATTGATATGTAAAATTTACATTTGGTGTTGCACCATTATCCAAAAGTATGCTAACAATATTTGCATGATCCATGAATGCAGCAGCCATAAGTGCTGTACGTCCTTCCGCATCTTGTTTATCAACATTTGCGCCACATTTCAGCAAACGTCGTACGACATGTTCATGTCCACTCCTATAATTTCTTTTGCTTTTTTTTCCTTCTCCTTTTTTTTTTGTCAGCAAAAAAGAAAAAAAAAAAATAGAATTAACCCAAAAATAAATGAAACATTTGTAAATAATATATAAAGGTCAGAGGTTATCATCATTATTTTATTTATTTCAATCATATTTTAAAACCAATAGATATCCTTCGCAATTTTAATATCTTTCAATAAATAAATAAACATTCCTATTTTAGTTATTCCCTTTAATATCCTCTCTCCTATTTCCTCATCCTAAAAGCATATCGATGAATAATTCAAAAATTGTCATTAATTCTTGAAAAGGGTGTTAATCAAATTCTATTTTACATCTTCTCCTAGTTGTGTGTGATTAATTAAGTCAATCTCACAAAGCTTAATTATTTACTTTATCCTTTGCTTTTCATTTGATTGCATTAATTGTATTTTTCAAATAAAATTACTTTCTTAAAATTATTCATTCCATTTTTATTATTTACAAATTTAATATGAAAAATGTTATAAATATTGGTAAAGTTGAAAATAATTACAACAATTCATAGATCAATTATAAATTATTGTTGAATAATTAAGTTGAAAATGATTACAACAGTTCAGAGATCGAATTATAAATTACTGTTGAATAATTAATAACTAATCAAACAATAGTAGTTAAATTGAAATTAAATGAAAAATTGTTCAATTTAATTTGAATTAAATGAAAATTTTCCTTTATTATCAATATTCACAAATTTCTTTTTTTTTTTATTTTTAAAATTACAATAATAATTTGAAATAAGAAAGAAGAGGTAATAATTTCCTTTCTTTTTTTTGTTTTTTGTTTTTTTTTTATTGATTGATACAATCAAAATTTATTCAATTAAATTGATAAACTTTCGATGGTCTTTTTTTTTATTGAAAATTTAAAATATCGAATAGCATAATTTTTCATAAACCATTGGATAGAAAATCTTAAAATTATTCGATATGCAAATTTAATTTAAAAAAAAAAATAAGAAAGAAAAATAAATGAACTCATTTCCTAATTCTCATATCATTCTGCAATATCTACAACAAATACTGATTTAATAAAAAAAAATCTTAGGAGGAAAAGTTAATTTTCAAAAAAAAAATAAAATGAAAAAAAAGAAACTCTTTGATAGAAAACTTTTTCTTGATATTAAAATTTCCAATATATTTCATTTTTGGTGCTTATTTTGTATATAAAAACAAAAAAAAAAACCTTTTAATTCAGATTATGATAAGTGATTGTATAAAGGAAAAAATATAATAACTGATATTACTTGGAATATGATAAGTAATAAAGTGATATTACTTGGGATATGATAAGTAATAAAGTGATATTACTTGGAATTTGATAAGTGATATTACTTAAAATGTGATAAGTGACACTACTTAGAATATGATAAGTAATATTACTTAGAATATGACAAGTGATATTGTGATAAGTATTATTATAAAGAAATATTGATGTGTTTTCTTTTTTTCCTTATCCTTTCTTATCATGCTTTACATCT